AGAATGCCTATGTCTGTCCACATTCCGGCGACGGCCGACTTGTGAACTACGGCGGCGACCTTGGTTCTCTTCCTCTTCCATTGCCACTGCTATGAGAACTTGTTCATCGACTTGCCTCTGCAACTCATTGATTTCATCGGCTCTACGGTTTCTCTCCTTTCTTTCTCTCTCTTGCATCTCCAAGCATCTCCTATATTCTTCCATTGAGAATGAATGGAGTATGAATTCTAAACTCTAATAAATTAAAATATTGAAAGATGTGGTGTGAGAGGTATGAGGTGAGCCTCTGGTTTTATAGAAAAATTTGGCAAGATAGAGATGTCACGTGGCTTGATTTGATTGGATGAAAATCTTATCTGAAATTTGAAATTCATCTAAAATTTGAACCCAAATTTATCTGAAATTTGATTTTTGAAATTCATCCGAAATTTGAATTTTGAAATTCATTCGAAATTTGAACCCAAAAATTTATTTGAAATTTGAATTTTGAAATTCATCCGAAATTTGAACCAAAAAATCTTATCTCAAAATTTTATCCTATTATGAATAGTCTTGACACGTAGGAACTCGTAAATCTTATCCGAAAATATTATCCAAATTAATTATTGAGGTAAAAAAAATTGTGAATAAAACAAAAAAATAAATAGTAACTGCCCTTAGTAAGGGCAGCGGGTGGAAACACAAAATTCTGATTTGCAAGGGCAATCACTATTCACGTGAATAGTAGCTGCCCTAACTCCCCCCCTTGCCATGGCTAAGGGCAAATGGGTGGAGTTGCTCTTAGGACTTGAGCTACAAGCAATTCGGAGAAGTGGTTTACAACACAAATATTCATCGGGTGAAAAGTAACAATTCTACAAGAACAAAAATAAAATAGATATAAAAAAGGTATTTCCTAATAATATTAAGTTGAAGTTGAAGTTGATGTTGATGTTGGAGCAGACTGTATAGATATTGATGTTGAAGTTGATTGTGTCCGTTTCGCAGATCTACCAAATTAAGATATCCACCGATGATGGTTGTGGGTTGGACGGTCCTAAAGCGGTAGTCGTGCAATCTTCATTATACCAACAATTAATATCTCTACACGTGACTGAATTAATTACAATATAATAATTTAATGTGATTCGATTTTCATAAAAATCAAGAAGAAAATCGAATCAAACTAAACCAAGTTAAGACATTTTGATTCGGCCAATTTGGGATTAAACCCAATTCTTTTTCTTTTTGCATTTTTTCAATATTGTTAGCTCAATTCAACCAATAAATTCACAACTTGTTCATACTTAAATCATTTTCTAGAGTACGAAACCATCCTAAAGCTCAACATGTCATAAAATTTCAAATTTTAATTATTAATATAGTTCAATTTAAATATTCATATATAGTTATTACCTAATTAGAGTATTACACATGTAAAATATAATATAAATAATAAATATACGCATAAATGATCTGTTTTGGTTTAAGTCGGTTTATAAAAGTTCAAAATCAAATCAAATCAAACAAACCACATACAGTCCGGTTTGGTTTTTAAACCGTTTAACTTTTTCTATATCAAAATTTAATCAAACCAAACTATAATACAGTCCAAGTTGGTTTTAAACCGTTCGACTTTCTTTTTATAGAAAATTAGTTAAATACCCATTTCTAAACATAAAACTATAAAAAAAACCCTATACTATTTAATGTATATAAACACACCCAAAATAAACCCAAAAATCAACAGCTGTATATTTTTTAATTTAATTATTAAGATGAAATACCTTTATTACCCTTTTAACATGAAATTGGATTTCCTAATAAACACCAGATCAGACTCACGACCTGCAATCTCTCATCTTCATCTTCAACCCCAATTTTCAGTTTTTGTTCTTCCACCTCAGTTTTGACGATGAAATCCTAAGCTCTGTTCTCAAGTAACTATCTCTCTTCAGCTTTTGTTCTTCCACCTCAGTTTTGACGATGAAATCCTAAGCTCTGTTATCAAGTAACTCTCTCTCTCTCTCTCTCTCTCTAAAAGAATAAGAATGATGAAGTCAAGGATTCTGATTGTGTAAGGTAACTATTTCTTCTAATTCTAATTAATTCGTCTTTTATATGTTGGGATCTGTGAAAAATTTGGAGGATTTGCAACATGAGCAAATGGACAATGACTTGGCGGATTTAGAGGATGAAATGGCTCATGGTGCATTGGTGACTTGGCTCAATATAAAATCCTATTCGATCTGTGATCTTCGATTTTGAGGTATTTGATTTTTTTTTTAATTTGAATTCATATTCGATTTTATTGTAGTCT